TAGAAGTATTTTATCTGTAATTTTAAATCATTTTGATATTCTTAATTTGAAATATCTTGCAACACTCTGATACAGTTTTGTGAATCATGATATTTTTGTTCAAAAATAAACAAATACATGGTATTTATATGAGTAATCAGCCAATCAAGACCCTATAGAATGATGACGCCAAATTGTGATCTCTAATTTAAGGGTATTTCATGGTCTCTCACACATTGTTTTTGTTTTTAAAAATTGGTAGTCATCTAATTATTTGCAATTATGTATTTATATTTTTCAGGTTAGAAAAGGTAAATCGTCTGGTAATTTACCTACCCGCAATAGCACTGCCACAATAGGAGTGTTCTGAGGTCATTGCCTGTATGACTTTTCAGACCTCCTATCCACAGATGAAGAGGAACAGATGAAGAGGAACAGATGAAGAGGAACAGATTGGGCGATTCCTCCACCCATTTTTTGTAAGTTTTTCATAGATCTCGATGTTTTGAAATTATAGTACTATGATATTATTAGCTGTGTGAATTTTCAGAAATATATATCAATTTGCAAAAATTCAGTGGATTCAGTATTCCATTGCTCAATGTCCATGTCCAATAAACCAGAAATAAATAGAATATGTCCTCAAATACAAAATTATATTGTATTTTGACTCAATACAATGTTTGTCTCTTGTTTTTTTCAGCCGTCGGCGGGAACTCGATAGCGGTCTTTACTATTGGGTTTGACATACACCACTTACAGTTAGATGATCAACGTAGCACGGTCAGTACCTACCTACATATTTGAATTTAAATCACAATTACTGAAATTTTGTGAAACGCAGCCTGAAAAATTCTTGTTCATATTCTGTATCCCTTGAAGGTGTACTGGAGCATTAATCTTGAAAACTGAACTTACGATGATTTTGGTGTTCCAATCATCTGATTGATCTCTTAAAATTCATTTCAAGAACAAGCCCCCTGCTGTGGAATGAAAACGCAAAAACTACCATGGGATCTTTCTCTCTGAAATGGGTGCATATTTGATAATTCCATTGGCAGAGTGGTGTTACAAGAGGCATGACTTGCCTGGCTAATGACAGATACCACAGTTAAAAGCTCTGATTAAAAAAGTCATTTAGTCTTGGACGCAAGAGCTTAAAACTAATCAATTCAAGATTGACCTTTGAAAATCGATTGTCCATGAGCAGAGATATTGGCCAAATGATGTTATTCACATTTGATACACATGATTTAAGAGGTAGTTTTCAAGATTTTCCTTACCAGGTTACTTTTAGATAGCTTTAATGTTATAGAATTAACAGAAATAATTTTTTGCTTAAAACTTCCAGATAAGGCAATAGATATATTTCTCTAATCTGTGGTCTGAAGTATTTATTACTGTTTGCACATAACTTTCCAAACCTACTTTTAAAATAAGAATCATTACTTTTAGGGTTCCAAGAACAAAGGGGCTGGTCTTTAGCTTCAACAGGACATTACATTTGGAGGTCAATACGGTTATGGTGGAGCACAAAATGTCCTAAAGGCGACTCTTGGAACGAAGCCAGGTAAGGATATTTTAATAGCTATCTTGGATATGATGTTGCTATCCAAGTCATTATAAACACACTGTAAATATTACATTTAGCAACATAAGATTATTTTTTGGAAAACCTTACAACACAAACCCAAATTTTTATATGTGTCCTTCCTTACATTCACCTTTGTATATTATCATAAGATTATTGAAATTGATCTCATGACCACCATTGTTTGGACTTAACTAAACAAGTCTCCTGTAAAGTTTCCGAAGCTCTAATACGCTTGTTACTGAGTAACGGACTGTTCCATAGAATCCATCAACTGTTTGGATTTATGTATTTGTTGAATTATTTCATTTGTGCCATATCAAATAATTAAGTTGTAAATTTTTAATTTTAGGTGTAAACAGATAGAGCTTCATTATACAGAAGTCAAGTGCTTATGGTGTGGCACAGAAGCTCGCAAGGCAAGTTTGTTTTAGAAGTATTTAATCTGTAATTTTAAACCATTTTGATATTCTTAATTTGAAATATCTTGCAACACTCTGATACAGTTTTGTGAATCATGATAGTTTTGTTCAAAAATAAACAAATACATGGTATTTATATGAGTAATCAGCCAATCAAGACCCTATAGAATGATAACGCCAAATTGTGATCTCTAATTTAAGGGTATTTCATGGTCTCTCACACATTGTTTTTGTTTTTAAAAGATTACTTAAAATGGTAGTCAACTAATTATTTGCAATTATGTATATATATTTTTCAGGTTAGAAAGGGTAAATCGTCTGGTAATTTACCTACCCGCAATAGCACTGCCACAATAGGAGTGTTCTGAGGTCATGGTCTGTATGACTTTTCAGACCTCCTATTCACAGATGAAGAGGAACAGATGAAGAGGAACAGAAGAAGGACAGATGAAGCGGCGCCTACAGAACAGATGAAGAACAGAAAGAAGTATGAAGAACAAGTGAAGAATGCTGATGAAAAGATCAACAGATCAAAAGAGGGGCCTCCGAAGAGTACTCAATAAGAAGAACCAAATCTACAGATGAAAAGCCATGGGTATGTTACAAGGGATTTAGTGAACATTGTCATCTTAATTTTTAAAATGAAAACATAATACTTGAACGACATTTGGAAATGAGGCGTACATATAACAGAAACAAGGCAATATTATAGATTTAACATATTTCTTTAATAAACTAATTAAACAGATTAAACGTTTCAAACAATGTGTTGTCATCAGAATAAAAAACCTAACCAAACATATTACAACTAAGAAGACAACTGAAGAGATTAACAGTGTAAAGGGTAATACAAGTAATAATGAGAAGTCTAAATAAGAGAACATAAGCTTATTATCCAAAGTGAGTTACAATTTAGGAAATAAATGAGTTAAAACAATAGTGAAGACTTAAATGGTTACCATTTATACATTTTGTTATGTTTTTTTTTCATCTGATGATGGCACATGTAAATTGTGCTGAAAAGTTGTCATGTGTTTAATTAGTTTATCTAAGTAGTGTGCTTATTTCATAATATTGCCTTGTGTTTTGTAAAAATCTGACTTGGTTCTTCTACACTGAATTATGGTTATATGATTGACTGGCATTTTCCAAAATGAAAATCTTGCATTTAGTTCTTCTACCATTCAAGGCTGTGCCCGCATATGCATATCAGTAATGACATAGTTTCAAAGGAATACTACCTTTTAGAATGAACATTAGATTTAGATTCTCAAATTGGGCCTATAATGTATGTATTCATCAGGGTAGTGAAAGTTTAGGTTTTTCTACCTCGGTGCATCTTTGTGAGTCTCCCCAAATTGCAAAGTGGGTTCTCAGCTCTTTTGGAAATTGCCAAAAAGTGCCAAGAAATACTGGCTTTTGTTCAGATGTTGTCGCTTCAAAATCGAATCCAAAAAAGTGAAGTTAGTAAGATGCCATAGGAAAATCTATGAATGTTGTTCAATAATTACATAGAGTAATAATTACCAATGCATTTATCTGCTGTTTATTTTAAGAGGAAGTATTTCTTTGGAAAAAAAAAACAAGTTGCGTTAAAATAAGTAGTTGCGTTGACTAGATGAATATTTGAGCTATGGCTTATTTACATAATTCCTTTTTTATTTCAGCTGAAGAGCTCACAAGAAGATGGTGTTTCTGCATTTGGTTTTTCTGCATTGATTAGGTGTTTCTGCATTGATTAGGTGTTTCTGCGTTGATTTGGTGTTTCTGCATTATTAGTTCTGCTTCCAGCGACTGGTTTTTACTGGTGCCTTTAGAATTGACTTTCTCCTTGCGCTAGAATAAGTCATCTTTCCTCAGTAATCTATTTGACTCAGCTGTAAATGGGTATGGATAATCTGAGTAAAATCATTACCAAGAAATTCGGTCAAGGAACAGCTGTTATACAGGATCTTGTGAACCTAAGCTGTCCTTGTAAAAAAATCTTTCTTTCTATCTATCAGTAGGCTGACTAACCTTTCTGCAATTGAGTTTTCGGCCATGTTTATCAAAAAAATCTCACAATCAATTTTTGTCTAAGTATGGTATTTTTCAGTGTAAAATTCCACACTTACGACAGATTTCTATTGTAAGATTTTTTGAGAAACGGGCCACGTATTTCTGCTTCCATTTGGTGTTTCTGCACCTTTTACTAGATACCAGTCAATCATACCAAGATTACCTTTCCACTACCTTTCAACAAGAATTGCCATGATACAAAGACCATCAGCAATTATTTGGATGTTTGCTAAATGGCTTTCATTTCTTCTTTTTTCAGCTGTATTGTTCGTATGTCTGTATTTTGATTTGGGGTATTTTGCTATGGAAGTTCAGGTCAAAGTTGGCAGTTAAGGTCAAAGTGAGTGTATGAGGTCTAATGTCAAAGATGGTGGTTGGGGTCAAAGGTCAATGATAGTTGTTGAGGTCAAAGGGCAAGGATGGTGGTTGAGGTCAAAGGTCAAGGATGGTGGTTGAGGTCAAGGGTCAAAGTTGATATATGAGCTCAAGGGTCAAAGTTTACATTTGAGTTCAAAGGTCAAAGTTAGTGTTCGAGTTCAGGGGTCAAAGTTGGTAGTTGGAGTCAAAGTTTTCTTTTCAGGTTATGGTGGTATAGATGAAGGGAGGTTTATCAGATGAGAAGAAGCATGCATGCAGATAAAGAAACCGCAGGTATGTCATCTAAATATTTTCATTTTACCAGCCGATAGAAATGAAATGGTGTCATACTGGCATTTGTGTTAAATGAGGGAAATTCTTCAGGATATAAGGATTTAAATTTCCACCAGTCAAGGATGTGAACAGCCTTAGCACACATAGCCTTAGTTTTTTGTCTCTAGACCCTTTTTCATACCGGCGCATCTGACTTGACATCATTGACAGGGGTTGAGAACTTCAAAGGTATTGCCTCAACCTTTCTGAAAGTGAAGCAGACAAGCATCAAACTCACGGAGCCACAGCTGCTTCCTGCCAGCTGATAAAGCCAACCGTGGCACTTTTTCAAGATTTTTGAGGTAATTTTTTTAAATTTTTTTTGTTTTTCAGATAATGGTGGAAAGAGTAATAGTTTTCATTTTTTGTTTTTGGGTGTCTGCTTTTTTTTGTTTTGGCTTTCTGCTGTAGTTTGTTCAGATGTGTGCTGTTTTGTCCATGACTTTTGTTAAGTTGTGTTGGTTTTAGTTTTTTTGGATCATACTGGTAGGTTTAGAAGTTTGGTTACCGTCAGTACCGTTACCGATAGTTTCTATTTCAATTGGGGAAGGGGGAGTGTAATGATGTTTTTCTATTTCAGTAATTGGTATTTTTATAATCAAGAAATAAAAGATTCTCTGTTGGCTTGTGGATATGTGGGATTGGCATTCTTTCTGGAACTTGGTCTTGAGGCTAAGTATTATTTTTTTCTTTTTAGCCTTTTTTCTACATGTTTTATGATTTTTATATATGGGTATTTTTCGTGTCAAGGGATGTTCAGATGGGACAAAATACCCATACCACATGTGATACAGTCTGAGCACTCAACAGTGTAAAATCTAAAAAAATAGAAAGATGGTTTATGATTTAATTTGTAAATTATTTTAGAAATCTTGCATACTGACCCCTTAATATATATGGTATTTTAATTATTATTAGATTACTTTTTAGTTTACTGAGATAAGAAGATAACAGTGTATGGTGTCAGATAATGGTGTTGGTGTATGGTGTCAGATAATTTTGTTGGAATATAGTGTCGGATAATGGTGTTGGAGTTTGGCTTCAGATAATGGTATTAGAATATGGTGTCAGATAATGGTGTTGGAGTATGGTTTCAGATAATATTGTTTTTATGGTCTAAAAGGGTGAAGAAGATAAGTTTGAATCTTAAAATATCTGGAAATATTTTTAAATAACTAAATTTTACAGAAGGCTAGCCTAATGTAGATTGGAATCTTTAGAGGCATTGATTAGGTTTTGATTGACCGACCTGAAATTGATTTCATCGCACAGTCACTTTTTTGAGCTTGAGATTCGACATGGAATATGTAAAAATGGCTTCAGGAGTACTAAAACTGTACATCATTTTCAAATATACCTCAAACTAGAAAATATACCTCAAACTAGAAAATTCAAAGTGCGCTTGTTAATCTAATGTTTTTTTTTTATTGCAGATATTGGTGATATGGATAATATAGTTTTAGGGTAGGCAGGGAGAAATCCTGCAGGGAGCTCATCGTCCCTATCCTGCCGAGATGGATTGATTGGTGTGAAGGGCAAGAAATTTGGAACGATCTCTAAGAGCATGTAAAACAGAAGTAAGTTATCCTTTAAAAGGAGGAACTGAAGATACAAATATTTTTAAAAGGATAACAAATGGATTAGCAGGTCCTGGGAAAACCTTCAGATGATAACATTTAACCAACATTTACTTGACTTTACCAAACGAATGACGTCATATAAAGATTCTGATGCTCTTACCAGTTGTGCTACAGCCTGTCCTTGAACCTCATTGCTTTTGCAGCAATGGGGTCATAACTTAAGCCTTTGCAATGATCACTTGCACAGTTTAGTTTAGCAGAGTGCAGTTTATGTATACAGTCTAATATTAGATTTACCTCTTCGCATTCAAAGCAAGCAAGATAAGATAGTACCTATTTTTTGGTTTCTCATCGTCGGATGCAGGGTAGATCGGCATGGAAAAATAGTTTAGTTCAAGGCGAAAAGTCAAGCTGGCTATGAAACATTTAGGATGAGCAGTAAAATTCTGTTGTGATTTTCAGATATGGGTTGATATGAATGAAACAGTTTTTACTGTGAACATATGTCTGGTTGTCAAGATAGCTTCGTCCAGGTCAACTAGCTGCTGTTTGTATTCAGGTATTGTATTAGTTAAATACTCAGTTTTCTTTCTTGTTTTTCGTAACAGAGATCTTACAATCATTTATTGAGACTATTACATCTGATATTGTAGTCTGTTTACAGTGCATGTTTTATGAATAAAGGCATATACATGTAATGGGTTAATTTTGTTATGTTCTGAAGGACAATTGGAGAAACACATTCAAATAAAAATTTATCCAATTATTATTGTTCAATAAATGTGTATAGAGCTATTAGTAAAGATTTCTATTATTATTTTTCAGTCAAACTTACACTGAGTGTTAATGCTAAAGTTATAGAAACAATAGATATATAGATAGATGATATAGAGAGTCTTGTAGTTATATACTGATGAAAGAAAGAGAATGAATGAAAGGAGAGATTGCCCAAGATATTGGATTGTATTGATAACGCGTTATGGCATTTAAGATCGCTTTGATTACGGAACAATTGAAATAATTCTGTAAATGTTTTTCGACATTTCAATCAAGGTCACAGTGGCAAAAGAAAGTATTTGCCCTGTTTGAAGTACATGGAAATCATAATGTAAGCGGATCTGTCTGCTGCTCTGATTTTGTGGAACCATCATGCAGCAATAATATTAGATTAGAATGGTCTCAAGCTACATTGGCTATGTCTTTGACTGTTATAATTGTAAGAATGTTACTAATGA